CCACTTTTGACCGCCACTATAATATACATTAATAAGTTTGATAAGTATAATATGTTGAGTCTAACAGATAACCAAAATTCCCAAATATGGCTAAGATATGTGTCTTTCCATCTGTCTTTTTGTATACCAACTGTATGAATTGATAAAACTTTGATTGCGTTTTCCCACAAACTTGAAATTTTTGAAATACCTCGTTATATTATTAAACGTGCGATATGTACATTCCAAAATGCTCAGAATGAAACATAAATCGATTAAGCCAAATTTTAGATATCCCTTTGAAATTTGGTATGTCAATTAATGGATGGATAATAAATTCGCACACCTCCCATACTCGCATTTTTGAAAAAATGTGTCAACTGCGGTATTTCACCAGATAATAAATTTTTAAGAGTTTTAGGGTAGTATTTTGGGAATAAAATAAGATTTGTGACCATTGAGATACAGATATTCATCATTCGTCACGTAACAAAGGCAGAGCAGAAAATATTTCCACACCAATTTGTGTTGAAAAGTAGCACATTTATCCAAATCTGCATTTCTTAGAGATTTAAATCGAACCTAATCGTATGTATTTTTCAGTGCGAAGGTGTAACCGATCCTGTGAAGCTGCAGATGACCGCCAACTCATTGGCTTTAATGGCGCGCTCATTGTCATTCGACAGCGAATTCATGTCGCCATTCGCCATAAATGCCAGGCGCAATAACATTAATGCAACAGGTACGAATATAATTACATACTATGTACATAAGTATGTGCATTGGGGTGGTCCAAAATAAGTAAAGTCGGAATTTTAATGCCCTCACCCCTTAGGATTGTTCTATACCCAAAAAAAAATAAACCTCTCCTTTTTTATTTTCAAACCAACAAATATTTAGAGGTAGCTCAAAGCGCTCAAAGTTTTCCATGTAAAGTATTGACCAATACAATAGCACCAAATTGATATTGTTTGCCACTCATGTTTATTTATTTATTTTTAAGAATTTTCAATTAAAATACAGTTTATTCTCTAACAAAACTAATATTAACCCAAGTTTAAAAGTTTTTAAAAGACTACAAATAAACCGGACAAATTTCCACCCAAATTTAGAATATAATTTTATCGAGTAAACAGTTTTATAGCCCATTCACTTCACGTCTAAGAAAAAAGTTTGAAACTTGTGTTAAAATTTTTTGCGTTTTTTTGTAGTCTTTTAAAAAGTTGTAAGCTTAGCTTTATATTAGATTTATTGGAGAATGTACTGTATTTTAATTGAAAATTCCTGAAAATAAATAATTAAACATAAGTGGCGAACGATAGCACTTTGAAATGGGGGTGCTATAGATATGTCCAATACGATACATATGTATTTTGTATGAAAATACAACTTTTCGTAGAAGTGGTATGGAATTCTTAAAAATCAATATTTTTCGATCGGAAAACTCTGGTTCTCGTCAGGAGACTTCCAATAGTAATACACAATTGTTTATTTATCCATTTTTGAAAGATTATTTATTTATCCCGCATTGCATTTTCTGGCATTTTCTGGTGGTTTGGCGGACCTATAAAATATACTTACTATGAAAAAATGGTTGGATAAATAATTGGGTATTATTATTTGGAATCTCTCGAAGAGAAACAGAATTTTCCGATCGGAAAATATTGATTTTCAAGAATTCTGTACCATTTCTACGAAAACTGGTTTCTTCCCATATAAAATACATTGAAAATTCTGAGCGCTTTCAGCGACCTCTAAACATTTTTTGTTTTCGCTTACGGGTGAGAGCATAACAATTCCGACTTTACTTCGAACCCCCCCCCATATACATTTTTGGACCACCCTAATGTGCATGCATACGAGTATGTTTACTTTGGCAATTTCAGACATCTTTATGTGTTTTTTATATACAATAACATCTTGTATCTCTTGGTATTTTCTTTACAGGCGGCAAACCTGACGACATAACTGTGGTACTCGCTACTGTAGCAATGTGAAATTAATTAAGTTATTTTTAGGTTTAATTTATAAAACGTGTAAACAGTTTGTTTGTTTCGCGACTTCTTAAATACAAGCGCTGTGCAGCGGTGCTGCTTTCGTGCTGTGGTGTGATGCTGACAGCTTTTGAGTTCGCTGCCACTGAAGCAGTTGATCCATCAGTCAGTCGAATATTTGGCCAGTAGCGTAAATTTCAGGAATAGAATTGTGACAGATTTTGCTCGTGTGTGCTTCACTTCGTACAACATAACAAATTGAACGCTTGCGATGCTAAATAATTATTATTACTAATTATATGCCCTCTTCTGTCAAATAGTTATTAGGTAGTTAGTTTTTTTTTTTAGTTTAGTTTAGCTTATTTGTGAATTTTCGTTACCGACCTTCCCTATATTTTAATGGCCATGTTCATAAAAAATAAAATAGATTTAAAAAGCTTTATAAAGTGATATTTTCATAAAATTTGTCGATTTATAAAGCATTTAAAGTCTTCTTTATTTTTTATTTATGAATCTGGATGCTATTTTTTAGTTGGATATGTGTTTTCTTATGCCGAATTTCCACTAGGCATTGAAATGACAAAATATGTATGCCATTAAAAAAAATAAGTAAAGTCGGAATGGGGAAATGAACTTAATGACTTTTTTTGTTTAACGTAATAACACGATTATTTTTTAATGCCCAATTTTGTAATTTTTGCCATTTAATGCCTAGTGGAAATCCAGGATTAGTTTCTTTTCGCTCTTAAGTGCAAACAGTTTTAATTTAAGCCACCTTATTGTGGGGATTACTTACGTAAAATTGTGAATGAAGTAATTTCCTGAGATAGAAAATATATAAAAAAAATGTTGTATTTATATAACTTTTAAATTCGAACGACTATAATTGTTTGCATTGCAATGTCATCACGTTTTCGACCATAACAATCAAAACTTCGGTGTTTCCATTGTGTATCGACGACTAACTCACAACAAATAAATTACATACATACATATATAAACATATATTCATGATCAGAGTTCGAAACGAAATTTTTAATGTTGTAACTCAGCTCTATGGAACGTTGGAAGAAACTTGCAAATGCCGAGGATTAATCTCAACAATTAACTGCATCTATTCATTACTACAAAATTGACATTTCAGCGAACAATCCACTATCTAATACATATATATTACCGTCTGTCATCTATATCTACTTATCAATTTCAACGAAGTAATCGATTAATTTAAGAGCTAATGCTACGAGTAATAATGTAATAGTTATAGAATGTTAATCAAGTAGACGCGTAATTAGTGAAAGATATGCAAAAAACGGTAACACTAAATTCAAAATTGTAGTTAATGATAATAAGAACAAACATTTGACTGAACATAAGCGGAAATAAAATTTAAAATATATACATATAGTAATTGGCGTTTGATTACATATGTATTTAGGTATGTTTAATAATTTCCTTTCTATAGTATATTTCGTTTATTTGCTCGGTAAACACATACATAATATTCACTGTAATGTTTAAAACTATCATGGCTAGTAATCATAATAAAGTTAGAAGCAGGTTTTCGGGTTTAAAACTGTATTTAAAGAACGCTGTTCCAACCAGGGCTTCGGAGCAAAGGTTTTTTTTTTTTCATCGCTCCGCTCTGGCACTGCTCCGTTATTTGATTTCGCTCTGAGCTCCGCTCCCGCTCCCAATAAAAAAACCTTTTTTTTATTTATTTATTTAGTACATATCGAGCCCTAACCGTTAAAAAAATTAGCTTAATTTTTTTTGTTAAATTTCCTCTTGTGGCAGAACATAAATATATACGTACAGCTATTTATGTATGTATATGATCCCAATGTGTTTTGTCTTGTAAATAAAATGACAGATATTAACCCAGTCAGGGCATTTTTTCGGATCATGACGTTCGTGAATGTACTATTTGTCCCATTCAGCTTATACTGCCTGACGTATCACGTAATTTTCTTTCGTATCGTTTTCGATCCGTGAACGGATGTTACGATTCAAGCCCGAAAAAGGAAAAAAGTGGATGAAGTGCGGATTTCGTCCGTTTACCGATTCGATTTTCGGATACTTTGATGATCCGTTTTTCCACTAAAGTGTACGGCAGAAATGTATGTACAGACAAGAATCGAAAATTGTTTTGGCTGTTTTTCTGAAAATTTTCTTATTGAATTTGTCGTTCAATACGTTTTCCTTCTGCACTTCACAGATGTTTTTTCATGGTTCGAAAAAAAAATAATGAAGTGCCTGACGGCATTCGAACCCGACACTTCAGAACTATTAGCATGCTCAGCCACTGCCGACTACATACGTAATAAAAGCGGCATTACTGCCGCACTGACGAACACAGACTGTTGCAACACTGTTGCAACTACCCAACTGGTAATACGTTGCTATAAATTCACACAGAACGTAATACTTGAATAATTCGGGCAACACTGCGGTTGTGATTGCAACTCGAACAAGCCCTATCCCTGACTGCTGGGTATTGTGCAATGAACAGGATTGCCAAGTATTGCCAACACGGGTTTATTCAGTGGCAAAAAAAAAAATTAAGTAAGTTTAATTTTATTTTATGTGCTTCTTAGGCAATTAACTTTTTTAGCTCTTTGCTCCAGCTCCACCCCTGCTAAAATCCCATGCTTCTTGCTCCCTTGCTCCGATCCTCTCCGAAGCCCTTGTTCTAACTCCTCTGTAAAATTCAACTTTAAAAACGTTTTATCACTAAAATGACTTTTCAAGTTAAAAATTGCAGAAAATATAAAAAATAACCATTATCTTGAAAAGTCAAAGTAAAAGTTAAGTTTTACTCGGCAATCAAATGTAGTCGTGTTTTGGATCAAATAGAAGTAACGTGCTATAATTCAAGGTTTATACAAATAAAGTAGAACAATAAAAAAATGAAATGAAACCAACTGACGCAGAAATCTCCAAAGCGAAGTCATAAAAATCCCAATAAATAGCAATAAAGATTTAAATGATTATTTATTTTGGAACGAATTTCCGTCATCCCTTGTCAAGTTTGGTTTGCAGACAAAATAATGATTAAATGATTAGTCAAAGTTGTTGATTGTATTCCTTTTAAAGTGGGAGGTATGTATGTACGTATGTATCCTGAAGTATATATATATCTGTGGTCATAAGCATTCATAACCGCCTGAGTCGACTTAAGAAATAATTGAGTTATATATGCTATCGTATTCTGCAACTACTATTCCATTTGTATGTGAAATTTTCATCTCGCCAGCTAGGCTATTTAAAAAATTATAGAGGAACATATTTTGGTTACCCCATAAGGATAACATTACGATTCAAATGTTTAAAACGTTTTTTCTCGAATTTAAGTGTTTCGACTTAGGCGGTTATTGCTTACGACCACAGATATATATACGTACATATCGTTAGTATAGTATGAAAAGAGCGTATCTCACATCGTCGCTGAAATGCAAAAATGCCATAACTAACTAAAATTTTATATCGCATAAAAAACGATGTGGGGTCTTATAATTCGATGAAATGCATGCTAATCAAAGAAAAAGTTAATTTTGGATTTTTAGTTAGTTACGGCTTTTCAGCAACGATGTGAGTTACGGCCTTTCCATACTAATACTAACGATATTTATGTATGTATGTAAGATTGACCCCTTTTATTAAACGGACTTCTTTATCCGCTGTAATTCGCGTAGACATTGACCAATGCATTTGAAAGGTAACGCGCCCCATGGCTAATATATTTACGTATGTACTTTGATATAATGTGCTGTTTCATTTAACATTTTTATTTTTATTATTAGTATTTCACACACCTACGATTGTTTCGACAGAGCTTTCAAGCAAAAGTGATAATTGCTGTGCAGCGCCATCGAGTTTAATTTAATTTTCAGAAGCTATTTGAGTTTCTAAGCTGCGTGCCACACACTAACGACTGTTTCGACATAGTTCATTTAACATGTAATCGATAAAGCAGTCGTTGTATTTAACTCAATGTCCTAACGGCCCTAAAAGTTATTTTTCACTGTGATTTCTGAAAATTGGCAAACAATTTGAATTTGAACATAACGTAGAGAAAGTGCTTGCTTAGCCACGTCTTCAATAGTTATTCGAAAACGTGTTAACCAACTTTTTCAATGCCTTGAAATAAAACTAGTTTTATTTATATTTCATATTCATGATATATTTCATGTTGTATAAGAATAAGTTATACCAGGAAACGGTAAAAAACATACTTCACATCATAAAAGCTAATCAATTAATCCATTAGCTGACTTAAAACAAATTTCTGCTTTCACCGAAAATTTACAAATATAAAAGAAATCTTTAGTTGGTTTATTTATTGCCGTCTTACTATTTCAATACTTTTTTTAAGTGCTAAGCCATTTCCTTCTTACGTATGCATTTTCGCAATGAATGTGCAATTTTTTCAGTACAATGGGTGATCAAATTACAAAACCAAAAAAATAAAACAAGAAAGTTTTACCGCCTCAAATTAGCGTCGTTGCCATCACCTGCACCAACGTTTGGTGCTTGAGCGCCCAAGTTTTCTCCTTCATCAGCACCCCATTGGAAGCCACCTGGACGGTCGCCAACCCACGGAGGATTGTTATTATCAATGTGCTCGTTAAATAAGACTTTTCTATGAAGATTTATACATTTTATTAGTTATAAATTTCAGCATGTGAGCATTAAATATCTAGGGACTTACAAAAAATGCGGAGTTTTGAGGATTCTATAGCCGTTAGCTTGAAGCGGAAAAACATCTTCAAGGAAATAATAAATATGGCCTACACCCATACCAACAACATCGACCCAAATAGTGTTGCCCAGTATCATTGAACAGCACATTAATACCCATGGCAAGTAAGGCGCCTGCAAGGGGATACAATTAGGCATAGACACACTACTACTTTAAGAGTCGTACTTCTACGGCTTGAAGTTTACTTTAGTGATTACATAATTTTAAAGAACGGGAATTACCTGAAAATTTAACACACCAAAGAAATTCATACGCACAAACGGATTTCGGCGTGACCATACATAAACTAGCATTAATGTGAAAGCTTGCCCGAGAAAAAGCAGATTCACGAAGAGTCCAAAGAAAACCATTAGCCCACCTCCAAACAGGAACATCATAACAAAATCAGCGGTGCGATCGCGGAAGAAGCTCTCCTCGAGCATACGACAATAACTTTGATTAAAAAAGAGAAACATACGAACTACATACATACATATTTACATACATAACGCACACTGTCTTCAAAAGAGTCACAACTCAAAAGTTGGCATTATTGAAATTATGCGCTAAAAATGTACGCAGAGCTTTTATTTACCTTTCAGCAAAAGCTAGAGCAAATTTTTGTTATACAGTAAAACCCGCTTAAGTACCTCACGAAAAATTTCAGCTTTTTAAGGTACTTAGGCGGGTTGGGTACTTAAAAGAACACGCTTAAGTACCTCGATGTAAATACATAAACATGTAAAGAAAAACTTAATTAAAAAAATTATTTAGTGCAAAGGTATATCATTTTTACAAGAATTAAATTGTTTAAAAAGTCAAAGTTGGACATATCATTTTGTACCAAATTCACAATATTGTTTGCCACTTATGTTTATTTATTAATTTTTATTCCCTAACAAATACCATATAAACCTAAGCTTAAGATTTTGTAGAACACTTAAAAAAAAATCAGCATAATTTCAAACTTTTTTCCCAGAAGTGTTTTTTGAGTATACAGTTTTTTAGCCAATTCAATTTTAGTGCAATAATGTGCAAGTTTCAAGTGGCTAAAAGTTAACGTTGATTTTCTAGAATTTTTTTACCGAAGGTGTGTGGCGCTGCTACCGAATTTCAAAATACATAAATATTTTAAGGGATTTTAAAAGAGCACTTAAAAGGGGAAAATTATAAATAAAATTGTAAATGGGGCATGAAAAATTGAGGTACTAAGGCGGGTTGGGTACATAAGCGGGGAGGTACTTAAGAGAGGGATTTTCTTCAGAATACATCAAAAAATTCATGGTGTCCAAAAATGTTGGTTACTTAAGCGGGTAAGGCACTTAAGCGGGTTTCAACGTAATTTGTAAAAAAAACCTATGATAAAATCCCCCTTGCCCATATGATTATCATGTGCTAAGAAATAGTTTTCCGCGTTTTCTGACAAACGTATTATTTTGAGTTGTGCCTCTTTTGAAGATGGT